TATATTGATTTTCTACTCTGACGCAGAAGGGATCTTCATATTCAATAGACGGTGAAAATATCCCTAATTGTTTGCAAGGAGCAAGCTCGCGTTTCTTTTCATGCAATTAGTTCTGACGCAAACGAAATTCTGTAGAAGTAGACGGTTTCGAAAGCTCATCTAATGAGCTTGTTTATCGGAGGATATTTAGAGTGAGTTTATTATGAACAGATCTGCAGTTTCTTAATCGCAGTAAATTGTCAGTATTCAGTTACACTAATTTGAATATCTTTTCACTGAATGGGCAAAGATTTTGAATTACTCAATTCCAGGGATATCGATTTTTTTAATTAACGTTACACCAGCATTTCTCAAACTGTGGGGCACACCCCACTAAGGGAGCGTCATAACTCTACAAAGGGGGTTCGAGCATATTAAAAAGTCGAAAACAAAAGATTATTTAAAAACGAATGATTAATTTACCGAAAGTAAACATTCTGATATAATAAAAAAAAATAAAATACACACTTACACTGATATAATGCGATTATAAATGCATCAGTACTACACGATGTATTTTATAATTAATTTAACAATACTAAGTTAAGAGCAAATTTAATAATCATCAGTGACCCCAAGGACTTGTTGATTCTTGTATATAATTTTATATATGACATTAACATTAATAATTTGTACTCTATATAATTAATCCCTTAAATGCTGATTAAAGGTTACGCAATTTGCTCCCCAATGCCACCGTTTTCCAAGTAGGTGGGCCTATATGATGGGGGGGGGATAAATAAGTAAATCCTGTATATAAAATAACAAAATCCTTCGCAAACACTGTCAAGTGTTTTTTTTTTTTTGCATTCCAAGGCCTTCGGAATAATTTTATGGATAGAAAGAGGCACAGAAAAGATCGCACTTCGAAAAAAAGTATATATACGTCCGGGACAATTAACGTTTTGGTTGAGTAAGACGTTTATATACGCCAATGGCACTCAAGAGGTTTAAGTTGTATTGTAGCTTCAGTGTCAAAGTATAATATTATTGAATTTAATATATTGTTATTGTATGGAGGTGGGGGGCGATGAAAATTATAATTGAATATTGGGTTACAAATACTGAAAGTTCGAGAAGCACTGTGTTACTATTACAAGTAATGATAACACTAAGTTGTAAGTTAAACACTATAACGAGATTATAAGCGATGGACTATACATAAATTTTGAAGCACACTTAAAAAAAAAAAGGGCTGAGGATTACACACATTCTATAAACTTCTATAAAGTATATTCCATATACTTCGTCCTTGACCAATGTTCAAAATTACGAGGTCCATCGCCAATAGCCCTTATCTTGCTTTATAGTGCGAAGTATACAAACACTTACTTCGTCCCCATTATTGCAATGCTAAAGAAATGTTACTCTTACTTTTAACCATACATGACCTTTCCTAGATATAAAATATGAAGGATGAGATAAAATGAATGTTTGTGATAAAGCTAACATATTTTAATAGTGAGGAATCTTTTTAAATGAGCTTGCATTTGGCAGTTGTAGACTTGCTGCGTCTGCAAAGACTAGAGTATGAAAGCAATTTCATTGGTGGCACCATCTAGTGTCGGCTCCCATTACTAAATTTTTGACTCTTGAATTTGTTCAATTCAAACTCTCGTCAGATCTAAATAATGTGCTTTAAGTTTGCCGAGAATATCTGAGCCAAATTAATACTTAAGGGATCTTTTATATTCCACATAAATACATGACATGCATGCCAACGATTCTCACATAAAGAAAATCTATAGACTCCAGCCCGGATCGAACCCGCAACCTTAGGCTTACGAGGCGGCACGTTAACACTAAGCCATCAAGCTGGCATAATGAAAAATCTTCGATGTCAAATTGCGTTCCGAATATCGAAACTTACTCCATAAAAAAATCGGATTAATATCAAGCCCTGTTGCAACTCAAGACCCGCTTTGTAGATAGGCCGATACACATTAAGTCTGTCACGAGTCCAACCGTTGGTGTGATGTAGTAGTTTGGAGACGGGTGCCAGTTTAGGTGTATTCACTTAAATGGGTTTCAAAAGGGCGAGGCTCATTGCCAATAGTTATCGTGTTGCTTTAAGCTGAATTCACACCAAGGCGTACAAACGTCAAGCGTCTAGCCAATCAGAGACTTCATTTCGCCCGAGATGAAGTCTCTGATTGGCTAGACGCTTGACACTCGACGTTTGTACGCCTTGGTGTGAATTCAGCTTTATAGTACGATGTAAATGAAAGATAATCAAGGACGAATAGTCAAAGAATAAAATGATTAGATGCATACAAAAAGGATTCTAATTTGATAAGATTTTGAAAGAGAGCATCCAATATGATCATTCAAATCTTATAATAATCTAAAGAGTTCTAATTCTAAATAAAAACAATCAAAATCTTACCGTGAAAACACGAGTTACTATATTGCCGAATCAAATCGATCGGATATAGACTGTTGACCATTGAGATACAGTACATTATATTAAAAATGGAAATATTCATTTCTATTCACGCTGCTTAAAAAATATTTCTTGGACGGAAATGCTGCAAGATCTACAAACTCGTGATAAAGCTATTTCCTTTGAAATATTCAAGTTCAAATGAATATGAATAATTCAGATGGCAGTATTTTTAAAGCATTTGCCCAAGCGTTGCGTCTATCGGTGTGTCTTTACCTATCGGTGTCTAAACCTTTAAAATATCGCAGCTCTGTTTTCTTGCTATTTTACAGTATGTTATTGAAAAGAATATTTTATTATATTGTGTGTGGAGACATTAGTGGATCAGAGTCGTCAATAGTTATCTCTAATAGACGCCAAGAATTGTATGTGAATTCTGCTTCATTTCGTTTGCTTAAGGTTGCCCCTCCCTTTCTCACCGGGTGGCCGCGGTAACCTAGTGGTCAAGGCAACGGACTCGTGGCTGGCGTGTCATGAGTTCGAGCAAGTACCGCTGAAGACCCATCGTACAAAGGAGGGCCGATGCACGTTAAATATGTCGAGGACAGTGGCCTAACGCAGAATATTAGGGCTCCTCTGAAAAGTCAGGTTTTGGGACCAAAGCCAGATCTTACAAAGGAATGCAAAACCATAAGATATCATAGGTTTCGGACAGCCTAGAATCCTAGGCCCCCGTGATGCGGGGTTGTGGGGATGTACGCAACGCCACTGGTCAAGGCTCAAACGTCTTCTTGTTGATGTGGTGCGGAAGTTAGGAAAAGGGGATGGCAAGACGGGTGTTATCCTAGTCACTTGACCGTGATTCAAAATTATGAGGTCAATCGCTAATAGCTCACGTGCAGCTTTACAGTACAACATTAATGCAATTCTCTCTCAGTCGGACATTCATGTCGAAGTAATAACTCACAAATTCGGTTTCCTAATCTTTTTGCATAGTCTTAAAAACTCTTCACCCTATCGCTACTGAGGAGCGTAATTCCCTTTAAAGTCGTTTGTGGACGCAGTAGCCTGGTAGTCATGGTCACGGAACCGAACGGTAGGTCAGTGTCACTGAAAACCTACCATGTAGAGGGGTTGATGCACGTTAAATCTGTCATGTCTCAAAGTTCTCCCGTTGGCCTGGTGTAGAAGATGGGGAGTGAGGTACCAGCTCGAGTGTCGTCCTTCGCATTTGACCGTGATTTAAAATCGCGAGGTCAATAGCTCCTACAGTGCGACGTTAATAAATTCTGCACAGTGGCGTTACGGAGAATATTAGGCGCCCCCTGCAAAGTCAGGTTTGGGCCCCAAGCTGGATCTTACAAAGGAATGCAAAACCATAAAATAACATAGGCTTTGGGTCCCTTAGAATCCTGCACCCCCGCACCGCAGGGGTGTACGTTACGCCACTGACTCTGCAGTCGTTGGTCAAATGAACTTTATACTTCAAAAGCTTTCATGGGTTAAGAAACCTTGGCACGAAAACTATGAAATCCTGAATATCCAACATAACAGACGGATCAAGAACCACATCCTTCATTTCTGCAAAGAATTTCACTCATTAAGAAACATTTAGGCAGAGAGAGTGCGCGTTTCAATACAAAACAGCCAGCAACAAACGTGACATCAACCACAAGTTTGCCCAATCAAAATGTCAACGACTGATCTCATAGCCGATATCTGCTTAAAACTCTCTTATTCTGGGTGGGATTTCCCACCTTACCTTTTTCTCCTCCACCTGAAAAACAAATTACAATCACCTGGCAGTTGGGATTCCTGGTTCAAGACAATTGCTTCATTGCTTCTTCTCCCATTGGCGCCGGCTGACCTGAGTGGCCCTGACCTTTTCGGATTTCACTTTCGTGCGCCCAAGGTCAAAAGGGAGTCTCTCCAAGCTTCCCACACAGCTCAGTTTTCGTTCCTTCACGTGTCATAAGCCAAACAAGACGTTGCACTTTACGGTTGTGCGACAAGCTATACGTGTTTCGTTATCTGGATCCAGTGCAGTTCTTGCGTTTGGGGTTCTTTCAACTATGTGGATTAGTTCTCTTGGTCAGTGAACATCGGTGATAGCTGTGGGATATTTGTAAGGTAAGGGGTTTATATGCTTATAATTAGGCTCTAAATTCTGAATCGTAAAAAAAAATTCGGTTCTGTATTTTAGTAATTTTTGTATAGCTTTTGTATTTTTGGTTGGATCTATATAAATCGCGAGTTCTTTAGGCTTTCTAAACTTTATTTGACCCCAGTTTTTACATGATTGTGGAGTATTTCAAGAATATTCCTTTTTTAATTCCTATTATTTGTTCACTCTTCCTATATAGATATAAATCTTGTTCAAATTTTCAGTCGTTAATAAAATGCTTTCTTTTCATCCATTCACGTTCAAAAACATTTTTATAAACTTGTAGAGGATGTGACACTTGATAATACAGTTTTTTTTTCCAAATATTAATTCATAAATTAAATTTAAAAATGAATAGTGACAAACAAAAATAATAGTCCAAAAGCATATATAGAAAGGAAGCTCGTTCGTTGTATCCTTGTAGCGCAATGGATAGCGCATTGGACTTCTAATATAACGGTTGTGGGTTCGAATCCCACCTGGGATGGCTTAATTTCTGAGAATGTGATTTCTTTTTTACTATACTATTTTATTAGAATAATTCAGTTTAATTAATGAACAAACAGTAACAAACAAAAATAGTTTAACACCCTATATTAAAAGGAAAATGGAAAATTGCAAGGAAAATCGCTTTCTATTTTGTCAATATTATAATTCTGTCATATGTATATACATATTTATATTAAGTGTAACTATTTAGTAAAAAGTAACTAAAATAAAAATTTTCATTGTTGACCTAAGTAGGAATTGAATTTTTTTTATATAACTCGTTACAGTTCTAAACACACCTCGGGAAATTCCATAGCTTGCTCACTTTTAAATTTGGGCTTTTTGTTTTGAAAATTATACAAAATTTAATTTCAATGAATTTTTAGTCTGTCCTTTATTCTGCATTTTAAACTTTCATCTGGAAGTGAAATTATATTTAAATATTTAAACGGAATGAAACTTAAAGTTCAAGTTGTCTTGTATAAATTTAATTTTTTACAGGAAAGGAATAAAAAAATATTATGTTCGAAGGCGATAACTGTGTACGCACCTGACAAAATTTTGAATTAAATTTAAATGCTATTCGGGCATGTTGTGTTAAGGCTTAATCCTTTATTTTGTGTGGTATCGTATTTTCATAAATCTGTAAATATATTTTTCATCCCATTTGTTGCTAACACGAATTGTCGCCTGCCACAGGATTACCTGTCGGCGTGTTAATTTTCCTTTGAAATGAAAAAGGTAATTTCAAAAATTTTGTTACATGAATGTCTCCTTTTTTTGTAAAATTTATTGGATATATTCTGTGGGGATTTTCAAAAATTCGGCACCATTCTTTTCTCTATAAATCTTTTACATAATCTTTTGCACGCATTTTAAAACTTTTTTTTCTCACAAAGTGTACACATAAAATACTTTTAATACGTTAAAAATTGGAAAAGCTATGAATTTTATTATTGAAAACTCTTTATTTTGAATAAAAATATAAAGACGGAATTCAGACATTCTGTATAATAGATGCACAAATAAAACAGGGCTTTGGACCTGCACGTTAATGTTATGAAATCTGAAGAAATCTTAAGTGAAATAATAGCATGGAACACCAAAATTATAAATATTTATTCTTGTGCACAAATTTTTGACTTTTTTTTCTTTCGGGATGATTTATTTATTTATATTACGACTTTTAACTAAAACAAGTACCGTAAAATCCAGCGTATAGCGTGCACCCATACTTTCAAGCTGCCTTTTTTAATTTTTAGGTACATTCGTTGTATAACACGCACCCCCTTTTTTACGAAGAAACAAGAAGTGTGCGCTTACAATGTTGGTATGTTTTTAAGCCATTTGTTCTAGGTATTATCCCAGAATTTTGAAAAAAAGTAAACTTTTAGAATAAGTCTCCTTTAATTCCATTAGGCATGTCATTTCCTTCAAATAAACAGTATCCCGATCCATGCAGAAGTCTAATTTTTCTTATGTTTGTCTCATTTTGTATTTTATTTATTTTCGAAACTCATTTTTTTTACACCCAGCGTATAACACGCACCCGTAAATTTCGATCTTATTTTTTGTGTTAAAAGTGCACATTATCCGCCGTATTTTACGGAAATTAAGAAATTCAATACTATAATTGACCTTCTATAAATCTTTAAATTTTGTCCTTTGAAGCTGTTGGGTATCGATGAAAATCTTGGATGACAGATAAGTTAACAATGTTTGATGTTTGAAAGTTCAAAATCCTTCCTGAATAAATTTGGGGGTGGGGCGGAGCCTAGTTTGAGTTAAAATGTCTAACCATGTTAATATATCCGAGAAGATTGAATTTCTACCATTTTCTTTTATTTTTCAGTTCCGCCCCCCCCCCCCCCGCAAAAGTCTGCCATTTGAGCCTTTTGAATGCATTTAGTTTTAATATACAAAGAGTGGTAAATGATAAGTGGAATTTTGATTTATTTTTTATGGCCGCACACTCGAAGTCCTCACATTACAGGGGTTTGGAAATTTGAAGGATTGGGTGCCAACTTGGGTATCGATCTCGTCACTTGACTGTGGTTCTAAGTTACAAGGTAGAGAGAAGAGAGAGAAGAGAAGCCACAATAGCATAGTGGTCAGGAAAACGGACTCGTGTCATAAGCTCGAGACTAATATCGCTGGAAGACCCGCACGGGGTTTTGCACGTTAAATTTTTCGAGACTCAAACGTCCTCCCGTTGGTTTGGTGTGGAAGTTAGGAGAGGGGTGCCAGGTCAGGTGTCTTCATCACTTGACCATGGTTCACAATTATGAGGCCCGTCGCGAAAAGCTCGAGTAGCTTAATAGTGCGACGTTAATTTTTTCACCCATCACTAATATCTATTGTATTGCTGAAAAGTACGACACCAATATGTTAGGCAATTTACTTGCAATTTGTTATCATTGGATGGGTAGAAAATTTGCATATTTGGATATTCATTTCTCAATATATATTTTTGGATTTTGGTGATTCTATAAGAATAATTATGGGATGCAGGAACGCCTCGCGTTCCATTTGCCACTGATGTCAAGCGTTTAATAAGAATAACTGGACTATGAAATTCCTCTGGAATAGTGGGGCCGCGGTAGTCTAGTGGTTATGATCACGAACTCGTGATCGACGTAGCCCTTTTTCCATTGAAGACGGGCTGTGTTGAGGGGCTGCTGCACGTTAAATCTGTTGAGCTCAAAGTTCTTCCACTGGTGTGGTGTTAGTACGGAGAAGGGACTAGCAAAAGTGTCGTCCACCTTACTTGACTGTGGAGTTCCGTCGCCAATAACTTTCATGTTACTTTAAAGAATGTGATCAGTGGCGTAATATACACCCCCCGCAAGCCCGCATCGCGGGGGTGGGTCGGGGCCCAAAGCCTACCCTTTATAAAAATCCAACCCTTGTAAAATCCTACCCTTTGTAGAATCCAACTTGGGGGCCCAAAACTTGATTTTGCATTGGGGCAAATGCCCTCAGTTTCGCCACTGGGTATGATATATGTTAATATTACTCTCACTCATTCTTTCTGAATAGAACCAAGGAGAAACTGAGTTTGACTTCACAAAAGCTTCCCGCGGTATGGAAAATTGAGGTACATCACCAAATACTGCAAATGCTAATACTAAAAACAATGCAACTTATGTCTTACTGTTTTATGACTTGAATTTCAAAATTTTCATTTCAGGCTTTGATTTAATCTATAAAATTGGTTATATAATAAGCCCACTATGTGCTTATTATTTTTTTTTTTTTATTTTATGTAAGCATCCGACTTGGAAAATGTCTTAAGAAAAAAACTGATTCAGTCAGTTAAAAAAAAATATGAGGAATATTCGAAGATATCCCTTGTAATATTCAGCCTTTGATAATTCTTCAGACTAGTTTTAAGTTTCAACAAAGAAAGAACTCGTCTGCACATTTAACATTTTTTCCTCCTTAAAACTTTTTCCGAATGAACACAACTTACAGAGTTGGATTTTACGAGACGCATTAAATTTTTTTCTTTTTTCTCGGATGCATAATGTCGTAAAATTTTTATAGCACAGAATTAAAAAAAAATCGTGCAATACTATAATTCATTCCAGGCATGCCTTGTTTGACCACAAATTGACCATCAAATGCATACTAACTCTCGAAAATTATCTCAACCTTATCCTCTCCGAGAGAAAGCAGGAAAAAAAAAAGTGAATGTCCATTGAAAGAAATAAAATAAATTTCAGATTCGCTAATCTAAAATACTTTTCAGCAAGGTGCTGTAAGACGTCGGAAAGGTCGCCGCTACAAAACAATAGTTGGGAGCTAGGACGTCAGAATTATTAAATAAATCAATTTGCATTTTCGCTTCATGTCGGTAGCGCGTAACCTTTGTTTAACGAGGTTTTGTATTGTGATGGTGAGGTTTTTTGTATTGCCAAATGATGTGTTAAGCTGCTCTATTCCCGGAATTTCGAATACAGATTGGCTGTAAAGTCCAGAACGACTTTGAGCTTGTGTTTTTAAAATCTGAATAGAAAGGAAAGTTGTTCTTTGATAGTTGTGTGAAGATAGGATTGTCTGAGAATAAAGTATTTGATAAAAGGTAAGTTGTTGAGTTTTTTCGTTTAATTTTTCGTCATGGGTGATCTAATTCAAAATAATGCAGTTTTTGCGTGAAAATTATGTAAAAATGTTTTGTAAGATATTAAAATTTTATCTGCAGTTTATGTAAAATTATTGTCCCTGCAATGTTGGGTGCATAAAATTGCTTACGAAGTAATGTGAAATTAATTAACATATGAAAATATACCGCGTATTTACTCGAATCTAATATGTCATCCATTCTAAGTAGGGATGGCGATTCTTTCCGAAAATTATCGATTTTTAAATCAATTCAAATCATAACCTGATAAATTGATTCACAAAAAAATCGAGATCTAAAAGATCGGTTTCTAAAAAATCGATTCTTTTTATTAACTCTGCATTTACAATGCAAGTATATAAATCCATTTTATGAAAAACAATAAAGATACTATAATAAACGATCTCTTATCGGTAAAATCGGGGGACTTTTTTTTTATTCGACAATAGCAATTATTTTTATTACCATATCAAAGTATAGAGTATAAAAGAAATTTATTTTCTAAATGTATTTGTTACATTAAAAAGCTTAAAAATAGATTATATAGCTTATAATTTCCAATGTTTAATATCTAAACTTCTTAAAAACAACAGTCTCTCAAGTCTACTGGGATCCAAGTGGTTCCGCTCATCACTTACGATGTTGCCGGCAATCGAAATAAGGCGCTCAAAAGGAACAGATGATCCCACGATACTCGTATAGGTCATGGCTATTGAGTGAAAGTGATAGTTTTTTTGTTTTTTTTGTTTTTGCCAGTAAAGTATATGATCATGCTTCAGGTGCACAACTGCCTGCGATAAATAGTGTTTAAATTCTTCATTTTTTATGGTTTTTACCAAAACGGAAAAATATCGATTTTCTAGGATGAAATATCG